TCCAGGTTCATTAGGCTGGTTATAGAAAAGCTAATTAAGGGTTTTTAAAAATAATTTTAATAATTATTTTATGCAGGTTTCAAACATTCAAAAGTGCTTTATTGTGCTTCACTTGTGCTGCATACAATGTTTAAAAGTTTAATCTCACAAAATTAGATTAAACAAACCTAAAAAGTGTGTGTGTGTGTGTATATATATACATGTATATAGATATATTAGATATGTTAAGTAATTTTATACAGTATAGAAGTCACCCTAAAATCATTTATCCAATTATAACACTGTGCATAACTGCAGTGCTTGTTATGATCTCTATCAATACATAGGGTAAAATCCAGACCTTATTAAAGACAATGGCAAACCTCCCACTGAGTTTTGAACAGGATTTCATTTGTAGACACAAAAGACATCAGCTAGTAGCCTGAATTTAGCATCAGTCAGAGAATCTAAAAAATTCAGCTATCCATATGATCCTAAGCCTTCTGTTGAGTGGAATCCTTCACTCAAATGCAGTGAGTTATGGTTCTGGCACAATTTTAGAGAAAGTTGATAAAGTCCTTGGCATGGCTGATATAATCCAGGCATGGATATGTGTAAAATTGCTTATAGCAATCCATCACATAAACACAAACAGTGATGTTTTGTGTTGAAAAAAAAGTTTCAGTTTCAATTGTAGGTTGCAGTTCTTCATGAAAAAGACTTGTAATGTAAAACAAATCTACACATTTTTCCTTTAATCATGAAACTAAAAAAGTCCCTTTTGTCACCAAAAAGATACTGGCAAATTTGTAAACTAATCCCTGCTTTACTTTTAGTTTTTGGTTTAGAATAATAATTATCATAATGAGGTTTGTGCAAAAATCACATTTATAGTGCTCTATGTATGACAAAAGAAGAAAACAGCCAATTTTCTATACTAAAATTGCCCCCATTCTTCAAAAATATCTTGAGTCAATCAAAGCATCTATAGTTATTGTTTCTATACTACAGTAGTTTAATATGCCACTCAATTTGTAATATCTTGGTAATTTTTAGAAACAGAAGTCAAATTGTGCATCATATGAAATAATTGGTATAAATAAGATGTGGATACAATCATATTTTTTCTTCTATTTTACAATCCAAAGTACTTTTAATATATATTAGGCTATTTGTAGGACTGTTTTAGCATGGCAGTCTCTAGGAGAAGTATGAGTGTATGAGAAGTATGAGTGATGACTATGATAAAGGATAAAAGTCCTGGAAAAATAGCAGTAAAAATATTGATTCCTATTTGAATTCAAGGAATTTGAACTGTACAATTGCTATATTAGCACTTTAAAAAAATAAACTAAATGATGTTTTAAAATAAAGCTATTTCATAACCTACCACATCTTATCTAAAGAAATTACATCACCTTCGGAAGAATGAATATATTCATTCAAAATCCACTGGTCTGGACCTGGGCGTTATAGAAATATTAATGTTGTGTGCTCTCTCTAGACTGGCCTCCTGGCCAGGTAAAGTTTAATGTAGCAGCATTTGGTTTTCTGTTAACCATCATGTTCACCGATGTGCAAGGGTCTCAATTGTGGGAGGTCAAGATATTTTACTTTAAAAAGTAGGGAAATCACAGAATTCCCCCAACACCTATAATATGCATTTTTTAAAGATACATGATTGCATTTTAACTTAAACTCAAACATTTGACAGTTTGCCCATATTCAGGAATAGAGGGTTTGATCCTGCACATCAGTGACAAAATGTCCTTTGGCTTGAATGGGTGTAGGAAAAATTATTATTCTTGCAAAGGGTTGGTTATTCAGCTGGTTTATGTGAAACACTCAGTATGGTCCAGGGGAGTTCTGCATATAGGGACATTGATGGATTGATCTAAATCTATCTTGTTCACAATATATATGGACACAGCATTTTCACAATATCAGGGTGCCTTATATTTATAGTCTGTCATATCATATAGAACCCTTTTAGCCAAAATGGCAATCTGATAAATCATTCCAGTATTTAAAAATGCACTAATTATCCACACTTCTAGCTAATTAATTGATGCAAATAAATGCAGATGCAATGAAATACTGCTGCCGTGCATTCTAATGAGGAAGCTACTATTGTAGTCTATCAGGGAAATATGTAATAAAACATCTCCAGTGGGTGTTTTCATGCAGGAGGCTAAAATAAATGAAGTAGCTCAATCGTATTTAGGGGCATGAACTAAAATATTTCTGTATTTTGAAACAAAATTATTCTACTTGGCGTATTATTCAGTGCAGACAAGGCAACAAGAAAATAACAGAATGTGTTTTCTGCTTTAAAGTGTTACAGATTAATATTTTTTATGCATATGTAACATTTGGAACCTACCTCAGAAAAAAAAATAGTAAAACATTGCTGTGTGTTAGGTCCTGTTGGAATGATTTTGTAGCTGTTTTGGTCCAGGAATTATGAGAGAGGCAAGAATTTTTGTGGGTGATAGCTTTTATTGGACCAATTGCATGATTGCAATAGACTTAGGGAGACTAGATAAATGAAGATAAAGGATACTAGACATCTGAAGACAAGCTTTCCAATGAGAAGCATACTTCATCAGGTGATCTTCATCAGATGCTTTGCATTTGAAAACTTGTCTAAGTCTATCCCAACCATGAAGCTGGTCCAGTAAAAGATATCACCCACAAAAAATCCTTGCCTCTCACTGTGTCCTGGGATAATTTTGTAGTTTTAACCTTACACATGCTGCAAAAAAAGGTGCATGAGAGGTGTCTGTACTTCAGAAAATATGTTTAGACTTTTTCAGACCCTGCATTTTTGACAAACATTTTTTGTCATTTACAGTGAATGCACTTGAAAACCAGCATTAGAGACCAAGGACCAGATGATGTGTTGCTGTAGAGATTCCCCTGTCTCTTTGTAAATCATTGCACAGATGTATTAAGGAATTATAAGCACATATTACCAAAAATACTGCATACAAAAAGGCTCTGATCCCTATGAAAGGTACTGGTCGTCACCTCTAGCAAGAGACAGGATGAAGTGATGTAATCAGAGCTTCAGAATTAATTGTTTAGATATAGAGGTTGAGGTGAGGCACATGTGTGTTATATACCTTCGGGCTCAGCTGCTGTAAGGAACAGATAAGAACCACCCTACATACCATTCCTATTTGAAGAGGGAATTCTGGGTTAACAGGCTAAAGGGTAACAAAAATGGCTTGCTACTCTTTTGAGCTTTCCATCATTATCTGCTAAGCCCCTTTTCTGAACAGCTTTGTAGGATACAGCTTTGTGGTTGCAGCTGTAAGATTAATTCCTTTGTAAAGAATTTGAAATGTAGTGATCTGTATATGTTGCTACCATTGCTATCACATATTCTACTCTCTTTTATGGGATGCTTTAGCAAAGAGTCTTTATACTATGAGGTAGGCAGGCAGTTTATTAGCAAATCATGTACCCTTTCTTATGTCTAGTACCTGAGCTATGTAACATTAGTAGAATATCATGCTTTGATGTTAGGCATGGAATGTCCATATTTTAGACAAGGCATGCTTAAAGTGATATGTTTTTTATGGATCATAATTAAGGGAAATGAAATACCTGGTACTTAAAAAGAACAGTACTGCAGTACATATTGTTGTTTCCTAACAGGCACAAAAAACCCCCAATAACATTCCACTGGGATATCTGATTAAGTGCATTTTTTGGTAATCTTACTCTGGGATTTGCTATAATGGAGCACCCTTAGAGTTGTATTGCCATTCCCAGAAGCCCTATAATTCCCAGACTTATATCAGTACTTATGGTACTTCCTCTGCAAAAGCTGAAGTATTAATCACAGCAGTGGTCCCACTGATGTCAGTGGGCATATACCTGAAGTGACTAAGTCAGTGATTCTCAAACTTGTTGGAGCTGGCAGGCTTTATAATTTTTGTGAGTTGAGTAGCACCCAATTTCAAAAACTTTATCCATATTACAGTGCTTATCTCAGAGGCACTAGGGATTGGGGGTGGGAGACTGGCCAGGTAAGGACAAGCCTGACCTTGCACTTACTTGTTTGTCTCCTCGCATTTTGTAGAAGCCTCACAGGACCTAGTGGCACCCCAGAGTGCCATAGCACCCCAGTTGAGACTCACTGGCCTATATGTTTGCAGCATCAGCACCTAAATATACACCTGCTCCTCCATCTTCACAGGGTGCTGAACTGTTTTTCTGAGTCACCTGCAGTGCCTTTCATAAAAGTCAGTATTTCCTTGAGATGTAAGCAAAAAAACATTACTAAACTGAGCCTGCCAGTTAGTAGAAGAAACTAAAAACTGCAATCTGGATTATTTTACTTAGTTCAGTTTAAGATGACACAATTTCATGACAGTGTTTCACAGAATAGCAGAAGTTTTGTTGGGTGAAATAAATATATTTTTTTCTGCTGCTCAAATAAAGGAATACTAAAAGGATATGTTTTATTAATTTTAATTACTCAGTTTATAATTTCCTCTCTAGCTGTACATTTGGTATTTTCTTTATCCTCAGAAAATCTCCCAATCTTGGTTTGGTGACCTAGACTGCAGGGTTTTTTTTATTTTTTTAAAGTCGAAGATCAACTAAGGACTTGGTAAATCACCCAGGCCCCAAGGTCAAAAAAAAAAGATAATGACAAACTATACACAAATATTTTAAAACTGGAATAATTCTATAAAAAGGACTATTAATTCATAGGAAGAAGGAGATGAATATACTGTTCACCTGTAGAGCTTTTCAGTATAATTTTCATATCAAGTGTTAATGACAGGTAACCTCCCTAAAGATTTATTCATTCATTTTGCTTCCAGGTATTGCACATTAGTTTGAGACTTTTCTGCACGGCCATGATGTGAATTACAATTAATGCTAAGCAGCCAGGGGTTGTTTGTTAGATTATCAGAACCAGTGAAGGTGAATGACTCATTCTATGCTATTTACAGAACCAAGGCAAGCAATTCATCACTGAACAGATGTTAATGATAGGCTACCTGAATCCCTATAGAGGAACGTCGACTCTTAAGAAACTCCTCTGCTTTTGTCACTAAAATGGCCTTGTCACTGGTTCGTATTGAGGTGCTTTGATTCTCAGAAGCATGACGTTGTGCAGCTGCGGTCTCCAAGGCGAGATTCATGGCCTTGTTACTGTCCAAACTGTCTGTAGAGTTGTACATCCCTCGACCGTCTTGAGGCCACGGGGAAATCCTCTGAGTCCGGCTATCATGATATGCATCTTGGGTGGATTCTGTGCTGCTCTGTGCTGTAACTGAGATTAGTGGCTTGGAAGTAGTACGAGGGGGTACTGGTGGTGGTGTTTTTTTGTAACTTGTGTAAGTTACAGCTATAAAAGAAATAATAAAAAAAAGAAATCAAGATTAATTTGTAAATATGCTTTCTGAGACAAAAATGTAATATACAGATTATGGTACTTAAAGAATAAGGGTAATTGTGAAACAGTGGTTTTCTGTGAAGTTCACTATAACTATCTCATACTAGGATGGGTATCCATAGCAACAGGTTTATTTTATTTCAACTAAGAAGTAAAGATTGAAAATGTTCCTCATGCTAAAATGAGAACCCTTGATTATGGTGAAGATGAAAAAGTAGTTACTAAAGATTTGTGTGAGTGTGGCTGAGTGCTGCGAGTTGTGTTCAGAAGTCTAGTCTAGAAGACTAGTGCCTGTGAGGTTGGCTATAAATGGGATAAAACCAATAAGAGGAATGAGGGATGTTTTTTCCCTTCTTGTAATCATTTGAACTATGGACTCTGCACTGAAATGGTCCATTGAAGGAAGTGACAGCAATATATTGAAACAAGAAATTTGTCAAAGGTTTTTTTCCCCCTGAGGAGTACAACATTACATTTTTAACTTTCAAAAACATTTTTAAATTTACTGTTAGAAATAGATTGATTACCAAAACGGCTACTTAAGTGGGGTTTATAAATGATTAAAACAAGCTAAAACATCATTCAAGCAGAAAATTCTCTACAAGGAAATGTTTATAAAATGCAAAGGCTACCAACACCATGAACTACAGTGATATTATATGCATGTTTCTGTGGTAGGATTTAAACAAAAAGGGCATGTATTGAGTAGCACTGTTTTGCAGTATACACACTAAGCAAAAATACATATTTAAAAACAGAATTAAATTATGAACAAGAAACAAGGTACACAGATGAATGGAAAATTTAAATATGTAAGGTGAAATGGGTTTGCTTCTGGTTTGTGTTGGGCTGTGCGAAGCTTCAGTTGCTGATTTGATTTGGAGTAGATTCGGCTTGAATCGGCGGCTGAATCCAAATTGAATCGGGAGACCGATAAAAAGGTCCGTATTGATCTGAAGCCTCCAAATCAATTTGGAAAAGATTCGGAGGAGATTCGGGTAGGCCCTGCTCACCGCTGCAGGGAGCTAGACCTGGACTCCATGCCACTAAGTGGGGGGAGGGGGCTGTAAGAAGGGGGAGGGGACCATGGGGGGACCCCCACCAGGCCCCAAATCCATTACTTGCCACCCACTGCTCCCCCGGCCCTACCAGTGCCATGCACTCCCCACCCACAGCCCCCCCCCCCCCCAGCCTTGCCAGAGGGGGCACTCAGCTGCCACGGTACAGGGCCAGGGACACAGGTCCACAGCCCCCTGCTCCCCACAGCAACACCTGAGCTCTGCCACCCACGGGAGGCAGTAGCTGCTGCAGTGGAGTGGAGCATGGAGTCCAGCTCTCCCTGCTTAATGGGCAACATGACTGGATTGGAGCCCACAAGCAGGGTGGGTGCAGGCTTCCCACTGCAGGCTTGGGCGCCCCACCCTGCTGCCCTCTCCCCAGGGCCTCCATAGCTCAGTGGGTGGGACTTGGCATGGCAGGGCAGAGTGGGGTGGAGAAACTCAGTGCGGCTGCTTTGAGCCAGGTGCAGCCACGGTGTAGCATCCCCTGCACGTGTGGAGTTGTGCCCATCACTGCTGCTGGCAGGGGGTGCTTTGCCATGGTAGTGCTTGGCTTATGGTGGCAGCACTGAGCTTCCCCGCCCAGCCCTGCCATGCTGGGTCCTACCCACTGGGTCATGGAGGCCCCAGGAGGAGGGCAGCAGGGTGGGGAGCCCTGAGCCTGCAAGCAGCTAGCCTGCCCCATCCCCATGAACAAATCTGGGAAGCATGTGCCCCCCCACTACTCCCCCAGGAATGTGCACAGTGGTGGGGAACTAGCCCCTCCCCCAGTGAACCTCCTGCAGCTCCATCCTGCTCTCTGCCCAGACCCTGCGGCTGCACATTCTGGCCCCAGACCGCAAGCATCACCCAGGTTGGGCAGCAGCCCCATCCCCATCCATGCCCAACTCCCTCCCTCCCTCCATCCCTCACTATGGGGGCCTGAATTCCCCATCTCCCCCCAACATTTACCTGTGGGAGCTGCTCTCCAGGCAGCCTGGTGACCATGTGCTTGTGTATATCTGCACATGCCCCCTGCCTGACCAGCCTCCTCTTGCTCCTCCCAGCCTCTTGCAAGCTGGAACTCTACCAGTCTGCAAGGGGAAACCTACCGTTTCCTGTGTTTTTTTTCCTTAAAATGAAAAAATCTGTGTTTTACCACATTTTTCTGTGGCAAATGGAAAACCTGGATCCCTGGTGATCAGGGATCTGGGCATTGGGGGGGCTGGGGGGGGGGGGGGGGGGGAGGGCAGTGAAAGAGGGGGAGTAGGTGGGGTGTTTATACTAAGGTGTAGCTTACAGTGGTTATACCTCAGTGTAACATGAGCTGGGTAACATGGATCAGAGATAATCTTGCCCTGAAGTGGTGTAACTTTGAGCCACCTAATGAGTATTTAAAACCAGTTTCAAGTGTTAATGTGCAGAGTATCTGGAGGTTAAGAGCTCCAGGAGCCACCCAAAATTTGTGTGTAACAAGGCCCTAAGTTATGTACAATATTTTAAGAGCTGCAGGGTATAGCCATTAGATTAATAGGGGTCAAAGATCTTGAAGCCTTGACCATGTTTTCTTGTGGTAGTGGTCAACTGAGAATATTCAAGAAGAGAGTTGTGTCAAAATCATTCTGGACTTTTAGCTTCTGTGACTGAACTGTGTCTTGTCTTATTTCTAGACAGCTTGTAAGGGGATAGAAACAGATATCAAAATAATAAATGACTGGTCAATGTTCAGTATGGGCTAAATAAAAATGAAATAAACTCAAAGTGTTAAATTATAACATTGAAAAAATCATCATTATCCTTCTTTACATACTGCTGATAAACTAGGTCAAGATTTTTCTGCCTTATTCTGCTTTTGCCATTCTTGCTTCTCTGAAATGACAGTGAAATTGCAAAACTGGGAAGAGGTCCTTAAATGTAAACCCAAACCTGGGGTTTAACAGTAATAGTTATTAAGAGTCTGGTGCTATTGCCTAAATTTAGTGATCATGTTTTAATGTTTTATATCCCCTACATGAATATTCATTAAAATTAAAATTGGAACAGAACACAATTCAAGGGTTTATTTGAGAGAATTAGACTGACATATTACACATCTGAAGACATACTTTTCATATGTTGTGATGCAATGCATTTCTTAAAGCATGGGTGTCCTGTGTTATCACCAAATTTATTCTTTATCAGCTCTGCAATGATTAGCTAAAAAAAATAATACCTCAATGCTTCTCGAATTCTTTGGGGAATACTGGACCCCTGAAATGCTGGAGTGACCAAAATATTCAGAAATTGCCATAGTACTGGTCCATCTTAAACAGTGTCTCAAATTAATGATACTACTGGAGAAACAGCAATGATGCTGTTTCTCAGGTAATGTAGATGCAAGTATTCAAGGTGCTACAAAACATTAGAAATAGAGACATGGATGAAATGAAGCGAGTGAAATTGAGGTTGGAAGCTATTTTTATCTATAAAATAAGACAGGTTATCAAAGTTATGACTAATTTATTATATTTCACCAGCTGTTTTCATCCTGAAGAACAGCAGTGAACAATGAAACATATGGTGAGATGATAATGAAAAATCACAGACAAAGTATATTCCTAATATCCAGGTAGTGGGTCTCATTTTTGCCTAACAAATGTAAATATTATAATTGTGCAGATTACATTCATAGCTAAATTAATTCTCATATAGCTTTTACAAAAGTCTTCATTTGCCAAAATCAAATATTGTCTTTTGATTATTAGTATTTTTAACATTTGCTTCTGAAAACATAGTACTGTTGGTGAGATGCTTTGTAAAGAAAGCACAATTTAAGGAAAACCCAACTTCTGCTTAATGTTGAAAAGGGTATATAAAATTTCTCTCCCCTTCAAGAAAATCTACAATAAGAATAGTGGAAAAGATCTAAGTGTATAAGCAACATGGTAGCAAAAACGCCCAGTGAAATTCTCTTCAGCAACAGAGATCATATCATGGAGCAGGTGAGTAAAAATGTATCTCTGTACAGCTGTGAGATTACACATAAAACAATGGTTCCTGTAGGGACCACTTCAGTACCAGAGTGATCCAGACTACATGGAGGTTGTAACCAAAATGGAGAAGATGATTTATGCTGAAAATTTAAGAGCCAACTCTCTTTTCTGCTTTGATCACTCAGTAGTTCCAATTAACTCAAAGGGATTATCTGTCTGAATAAAGCAGCAGTTAGCCATAAATGAAGTAAATAAATTGCTTATTTACATGTTGACTAAGCAGCAGGCAAGGGATGTGATGAGTGGTGAAACCCTGTACACATGGAATACTCTGCTCCCTAAACTGGGCCCCATCGTGGTGTTTAATAGAGATTGGTTTTCCTTCCAAATTTTAATTATCATTACCCTTCATAATTTTGAATATTTTTGTTATCAGTACAAATGCTCAGACACTTCTTAGTTTCCTAGTTTTTGGCCTCATGTGTGAAACAACATTTTCTTTTAGCAATTCCAAATCACCCCCTTTTAATCAGTCATCCCTTTGTTCTCACATCATGAGACAGCAGAAGCTTCTGTTCCCCAGCTACTCTATCATTCACTATCTTGTACATTTTTATTGTTTCCCTTCTTGCCTCCTTCCTATGGTGGATGATCACAGTCTTTTTAATCTCTCATCAT